CGGCAATGGCAACGCGACGACGATGCGGCGCGGCAGCGGCGCGGGGCGCGAGGCGGCGATGCGACGGGCGAGCGGCGCGCGGGGCGCGGCGCGTGAGGCGGCGAGCGCGCGGCGCGAGGCGACGCGACGGCTGCGCGGTGCGACAGCGGCGACGCGACGGGCGACGGTGACGGCGCGGCGACGGAACGGGCGCGCGGCGCGAGGCGACGGCGCGGCGACGGGACGGGCGAGCGGCGCGATGCGACGGCGCGGCAGCGGCGACGCGACGGGCGACGGGACAGGCGCGCAGCGCGAGGCGGCGTCAGCGCGGCAGCGGCGGCACAAGGCTCGGGGCGGCGTGCGCGCGGGGCAGGGGAAGGGTTAGGGCTAGAGAACGCGATCGAGCACCTAGAGCGCAATGAACAGTGCCATTTTCTATTTTTTTTCCAATTTGGTTGCTTTTGCTATTCAAATCTTGTCCCAATATTTCTAATTTTTGTACAAATCATGTTTACATATTATTTGTGTTGCTCTAACCTAGATTATTACTAACCTCATTTTATTTTATTTTATTATTTTTAATTATTCGAATTTAATTATAGTTAATTCTTATTCCATCGCTTTTAAATTTATTGGATATAAATTTAGTCACGATAATGTTTTGCTTTGTTCGCATCCTCACCAAATCTTTACTTTTAAATTATATCTTAATTATTTACTTGCCAATTTACTTTTAGGATTTATTCCTAATTAATTATTCATTATTCGTGATTTATGAACTCCGAGATCAAAATCAGATAAAATCGGCGAACAAAAATCGGCATGATGCAATTTATTTAAAAAGTTTTTGAGGGTCCATATTTTTGGAACTTGGATTTTTATTGGTCGAATTTTCAGGGTGTTACATTTAGATTGTTTGATTTTTTTTAATAAAAAATCCCAAACCACTATCCCTCCCTCCCCACCCCCATGCATTGCTAAAATCCATTAAATATTTTATAAATACCTCAACCTACTATATGACTTACTTAAATTAAAGAAATCTTAGAAATCTTAGAAAAACTATTATATACTAAAAGTTTATTAAACATCCTACCAATACTCCTAAGCCGTCAACTGGCACCTTACGAATGCTTCTAGGTCGCCTGGCACTCTAATCCGACCATCGATATTTTTATTTGAATCGATAGATCCATTATTTTATTTTAGAACGTTAGATCATATTTTTTAAGAAAAATGCACTTATCCGGAATCTCCCAGTCACGCACGTACCAAATTAAAATCAAAATTATTTTTTCATTATAAAAAACACAAATAGACCTGTACCTATTAGGTCTAGCAGCGCTCTCTTTTTTAACTCTAAACACCCTACTAATGCTTCTAAGACACTACACGGTGCTATTAAATTAAAGAAAATACTAGAAAATCTTAAAAAAGAACAAAGCATTCGCCTATCGATTTGTTATTTTTTAATAAGAAAAAAACAAACCTCTCTCCCTCCCTCGCCACCCCCGTGTGGTATTAAAGTCCATTAAATATCTTATAAATGCTTCTAAGCAGCTATATAACATTCTTAAATTAGAGAAAAATCATAGAAATTTTGGATAAAAGAAAACATCCAACCATCGGATTTGACATAAATGGGTGGACTCATTATTTTCAATTGCTTGACACATTATTTTAGGTCATTAGCTCTATTTTTTAAAAAAAAGAACACCCTAAACCTCCTTCCCTTCCTCCTTTGTGGCATGCGTTGTTAAAAGTCCGTTACACATCTTATAAATGCTCTTAAGATGTTATGTCATTCTCTTCAATTAGAGAAAATCTAAATAAAATTCTTACAAGAAAACAAAACATCCGACCATCAGTTTCGGTAGAAACATTTATTTTAGGTTGTTAGATTAATCATTTATAAAAACATCCCAAACCTCCCTCCCTCCCTGCCCGTGTGTAGCGTGTGTTATTCTTTTCTTTTTATTTTTTAATCTCATTAACAATTAAAATTAAAATTATCTATATGGGCAAAAAAATACAAATGGACATCCATCTATTACTTATAACCCGTTAGGCATGTAACGACTTTCTACCAACTTAATTAATTTCTCTTAACACATGCATATGAAGGCTAACAAATTGACCTTTATACTTTCAAAATGATCTTTTTAGGAGATAAATAAATATTTTTAAGAAAGATAATCACAACATCTGAATTACACGTGATCTATGAAGTCACTAATCATAGCAGGTATTCATCTAGCAATATAGACAACAGGTTGAAAATAAAGTTGTGGTTGGTTGAAAATCATACCGATAAGCATATGGGTTGCACCTAGGAATCTTAACAGTGGGACAACCTTGCACTTGGCCTTACCAATAAATCGTCAATTTCATATAGGAATTAAAGACCATGTCTATTTTTTTTTTGTTAAACTTGCTACAGTACATTGTAAAGTCTTGATGTAGAAAGAAACATGTATTTGTTACAAGACAATCCACTTTAGTGATAATTCACTAAATATATTGTGCCCATTATTTCAATATTTCATGAGAGAAAACTTAGAATATATGCCTTTACCCCATGCCAGGTTATATGCACTTATATTTTCGTCCCAAATTGCAGAGATCAATCATTTCAAGGATGATTCATAGAATGAAAATATCTAAAAGAAAAAAAAAATTAAAAATGGACATAAAATAAATTGAAGATTGAACAAATGTTGTTGGATGTAAAACCTACACTTCATAGAAAAAATCAAATATTTTACAAGGACGGTTAGAATGAAAATATATTTAAAAAATTAAAATACAATCAAACAAAAATAAGATATTATTAGATTTCTTTTGGGTTGACGAGTTAAAATACCTAAATTTTCTCATTGGAACCACCTTTATTGTTTCGGCACAATATTTTCTCAATTCAAAACCACATGACCTCAATTTTGTTTTCGAATTTATATGTTGCAAGGGTAATTATAAAAAAGATAACCAGCGTTCAAAGCACACAAAATAAGTATAATTTTAGTTTAGTGTATAATACATGAGATTGTAACAAAAAGCCACCGCACATAAATATTCATAATAAAATTGCACTCACATTATATAAGAAGGTGCCCGTGCATGTGTGCGGGCTACCTTTCTAGTTTTAGACAAATGGTCAAACATAATTCCAAAAGTCAACAGCATAAAAAAAAAGAGAGGAAAGAGTGCGCGTGACATATTTTTAAAACATTTTCGTAATAAACTTATTACCATTTTCATAGTTTCTAATCTACATTGAAGTGCCTTGTGTTCCCAGAGGAAAGGTAATAAACTATCGTAACAACTTGTAGAACTAGATGATAGCCCGCGCGTTGCTGCGTGATGTTGGTGTATAATATAGTTGCAAAACTATAATATGTAGATCAAATATTGGAAATCCCACTAAGAAATTAGTCATTAATAGTCAAAACAGGATACATGGAGGTTAGAAAGATTATGCAATAATCTTACCCATTAACAATCATGGGCTAGCCAAAGTACAAATTGCAGTTAATAGATGGTATTATCAATGTTCTCATAAATTAATTGTTCGAAGAATTAAATTTATTAAAGAAAGTGAAATTTTGTGGAACATCTCAGTCAATATGTTTAATTAATTCGTACATGATCAGACTTCCTCGGCCAACATTTAAATCATCATGTTAATTCATACTGCTAATTCACTGGCTCAAAGGATGATAAATATATTTCTATAGAGATTAACCTTATCTGGTCTATTATATAACTCTGAAATACTACTACATGACTAACACATCTAGGAATAGAATAAGAAAATCACCTTATGAAATCATGAAAGTTGATTAATAGTAGCTGACATATATAAGGTCTGAAAAGGGGTAAAATCACATATTATTCATTGCGCTATGCTGGAAACTGGATCGGATTCTCACCTGTGCAATTTAGAAAATTATTTGATAAGCAGAAAAGGAGCGCAGCCTTGAAATTTTCCGTATCACTCTGGTGGAGAGGAAAACTAAGTTATCGTCAGAAATCATTTCTTGTAAATGTAAAATTAATTCTCTTCAGGAATCTGAACAGAATTGGATATATACAAAAGTAGAAATGTCTAATCAAAATTTACCTCGTCAATTAGGGTCAGATCGATCATGCAGGTGACATTACAAAAGATGGGGCAGTCAGAAGAACACATGCATGCTATTTTACAAAAAGGCAGAAAAATATGAGTACAACCATCAACTCACCCAATAGCTATGTTCCAATTTGGGGATCGAGCAAATGAACTCAGCATTGGAGAACGGAAGAAAACATATGCACCTGATCAAACTTGAAAGCTGATGGGATTAAGAACGATAAACACCAATAAGACACCATGCAATCGGCTAATGTTGAAGCTGTCATCAAATCATGTAGCCGAAGGACAAATTAACCATGAACCCTGTAATATATGCCCAATATAGTTTCCAGCCAAGAGCCCAAGATATAGAACGACCAATGTTTAATGAGAGAAAGATCAGATAGTCAATGTGCCTTAGTCACCAGGATGGCTTGGACAGGAACCTGATGGAACTATGGAAGTCGCTATATTGCGATGACACACAGTGCTGGCTTTAAAACTTGCATGATCACTGCATGGGGATGGAACCAAAGGGCCTGGGGAGAGTTGTGGAAGTGGAAAATAAATTCATGGAGGTGCGTTTTTGGGAGAAGGCGAGGCGGTGCTATGACGTGCGGGGGGGGGGGGGGGGGGGGGAGGATATCAAGAGCTGAGCAGTGCGTGGGAGTCGTTCTTGGCACATCTGACTTGTGTTGGGCCTGGTATCGAAGTGAGAATTCAATCTAACGGTGGAATAAAGATAAACTAGACATCAAGCACGCTTCGCGCGCCCTATCGTATATAACCATAGAGCATATAACCATGGAGCATATAGTCACACAATAGTATATAACCATGGAGCATATGCTCAATTTTGATAGCAAGGTAGCAACATAAGAGAAACAACGATGAGTCTTAACATGGTTCAGGGCCATGTAGCTTTGCCCGAGCCAACTGTTCAGGGTTCATTGCCATGCTATCGCAGATGCAATAGTAATGGACCATGAGCATGTGGTGGGATGATAGCTGGCATAATAATAATAGGTGCACTTATACATAGAGGTAGTTGTCCAAAAGAAATCTCAGTACATTTTCACTTGGTACTAATTAATAAGAGATAAATGTCTAAAGTCTGGAGTAAAGTCTGGAGCAAAAGATCTAGACATGTGAGCATGCTATTGTTTCTTTCACATGCCCATGAAGATTCCATAAGTCAATGCCCAAAATAGTTCAGCCAGATGAGCATATGATCAAGCGGTATCTGACAGGCTGCAACAACAAGAAATGCTTGAGTAAACATTTAATTTATATATAACATATAATATGTATCTGTAGATATGGCAGTTCAACATGAAATACCTGTCAGTAGCCTCCTTTTCCTCCTTTTCCTGAGCACCATCATCAGTGAACAGTTTTTTAGCTGTTGGTGAAGCCTGAAGTGGGCGGGTTCTGTCGAGCAACACAAGTAGTTTGAGCAAAGAAGCGATGACAACAATGAGATAGCATGTCCATGGGTCTAAAGAATGTACCTTTTCTTGGTTGAGCTGTTTGGAATAGATGCAGCCAGTGGCAGCGTGATGTCATCAGAAATAATAATAGCCTTCTGTTTCTGCAAGTAAAGTGCTAGCTTCTTACTGTGATATGTACATATTCTTATAGTTTATAGCAAACATTTGTAAGCATGGAAAGCAGTACCATTTCTGTACTCTCAGAGGCCACTGCTTGAGTTATGGGTGGAGACAGTGGATCAACATGACTTGCTTGCTCTGTGGTAGCCAAAGAAAGTCTGCTAGTTGGTGTTTGAGGTGCTGCACGCCCGGTTACTGGAGAAGCTATTGTAGCTGATGGAGGTGAGGAAATGGCAATCTCAGATGTTCTTGTGGGTGACATGATGGAAGTGCTTGGTCTAGGTGACATGATAGCTGAAGAACCAGGAGAATCTGCTGGTCCTAGGGACATTAGCATAAGAGGTTCCCCAAGAACCCTCATGGAGATCACACTGTTAACCTGGAATGATACATCCCCAGTCCTAAGTGTATTCTCTGTGAAGCTGACATTTCATGTAAATGATCTCTCAAGCAGAGCTGTTATTGCATCAGGGATAAATTTGCTCTCCTTGGGTGTCTGCTCGACAAGAAGCTCAATTGGCTTTCGCACAATGCGCTGAGCTATTTTCCCAAAGAGAATAAACACAGCATCCGCAGTATCGTCCCCAGCTAAGACCGATAACTTGTACCTATACATTATGATCTCGCTTAGGTAAACAGGGTGACAAGTAGTTACAGTGATAAAACAAAAATTAAGGATCTATTACCTTGGTACTGCCATTGCAATATTGTAGCAACCAGTGCACTTGTAGGTGTAACCAAATGGTTTGACAACCCTAAGACACTTTTCGCATGAATTGTACCACTAAGAGCTATCGTTGCATATTTTCCGAATAGTCAAATTTGCTTGAAATCGAGACCTCTGTTACAAACAGAATAACCAAAATACTGAGAATAGGAGAAGGTAGTGAGATGTAACAAATGCTCTCTAGGACCATCAAATGAACACTTACCCTGTTTTTATGAGGATTCATGTCCAAGAGTTCTCTCACAGTTTTGTCATCAGCAATTTCATCAGCAATGTTTGTGGCTGGTGCCTGAAGTAGTTTGATTGGCTGGAAGTTTGCTCCAATCCTGAAAAAAATAGAATGCATGTATCAGAGAACATTTAAATAAATTTGACCATATAGATGGTTATAGTACATTTAGTATCTAGTACCAACCTATTCTTTAGATCAACCATCTCAGGTACATCTATGTTAATGTACCACTTGCATGCAGAGCCTCCAGACAGAGCTAACCCTGTATTGTTAAAATAGTTAGTTGCAGTGCTCTACATAAGCAAAGATACATCTGTAGTTATATTTTTTACCTATGCCAGGATAGTTCTTTGCAAGGGTCCCAACAAACAGAACAATTTGAGGCTCACTTTGTCCAGCTTTGTGTATACTCTCAGCATCAAATGCCAGTGCTTGTTCAGCCCACAAAGATACATTCAAGGTAGAATTGCTATTTGTGTAAAAGATAGAAGGAGAAAATGTGGCAGATATGTTAAGAAGATAGGTAAACTTTATTAGAGTGGATGTTAGCCTTGTTTGATAACTTTTTTCGTTAGACATTAGTGGTTAACAAAATTAAGTAAACATGAACTAAGAATTGAGCTATATAGGAAACATTACTTTGTATCACATATCTGAACTGTCCTTTTCAAGCTGCTAACATCCCTTGACTTAGGACGTAGCATCGTAGGTGTAGATATTTCAGTAATGAACCCGATGACATCTACACAAGGATATAACATATTAACACAATCTAAGTTGATTAGTCTAAATAGCTAATAAAACAAATAACCCTAGGAGGTCTTACCAACAAAGGACTCATTCTTGTCCACAAAGTTTGACACCTCGTTCAAAGGAGTCAGAGAGTATACAACAGTAGGGAAATTGAAAGGCACATCAAGGCATTGCTCAACAGATGTCCACTTAGTGAAAGTCATCATTAGTGGATTGGCCACTGGCCTATAGCTTTTGTTGGATGTTTTCACACGATATGAATCCAAATAATAAACCTTTCCTTCTGCCAGCAAAGGCTTGAACACCTGGATAAGTGGAGGGAATATCTGTGCATGAATGCTGCCACCCTGCACAGTACAGAGCATGGAAATAAGCAAGTCTACATAATTATATCCATGACAATATATAGGTCTGCAGGGCTGTTACCAAATCTTACCTTCTCATCAACAAGTACAAGATCGATGTGATAAATTTTGGTAGCATCCTTGCAATCAGTGAATTCCCAGAGCCTAGATACCCGGGCAAGAAGACGGGAGTTGTCATCCCCTTCAAAAAGCTTATCAATTGAAGTATCACCCATGGTAATCTGCACTGCCATACATATGTTAGAACTGTAATGGTAAAGACCTAGAAAGCAAGTTAAGAGATGAATGTAACAAAAACAAATGCAAAAAAAAAAGAACAGACAACACGTTAACAAAATCAGAAAAACACTTACCACTATAAGAGCAAAAGAATACCACAATGGCAACTGCAAGTACCAAAAACAAGCTACTCTTAAAATGGCCATTACTATTATGCCCAAAAAATACTCCAAAAAGGCGCAATGTATGCGCATACATGATTACTTAGATATCAGTGCAGCGGCAGATGAGCCTGAAAATTTGTTGTTGTACTGTTAAAAAGTCAAGCATATCAATGAAGGGGATTTGCAGAAGTTAAGAAAGACGCAACATTTTACCGCTTCTAACGTAGCATCCAGAATTTCATGGTAAACTACGTTTTTTGTTTCTGATCCGCATGAGCCATCATCATTTTCAATCAATATTCGTAAGCCTGATCGAGAAGTTGCCCTTGAGAAGGCAACATATAACTGACCATGAGTAAAAACAGGTTTCTTAAGATACACACCAACTCTCTGTAATGTTTGACCTTGACTTTTATTGATAGTCATTGAATAGCAAACTCGAATAGGAAATTGTCGCCTTTGCAATGTAAATGGCCATTTCAATTTTGTAGTGCTAAGAGAAATTTTAGGAATGCACACAGTTTCACCAATGTTAGAGCCAGTTAATATGACACAGTTCAAGATACGCTGCCCAAGCCCAACGACTAATAAGCTTGTCCCGTTACATAGACCCATTGACTGATTAAGATTCTGAAGAAGCATTACTGTAACACCCTCCTTAAGCACAAGTCTATGCGTGGGGAAATTATTTGCATCAATTGAGTTTAAAAGTTCAGTTGGATATAAAAGGTCGAAATCTGGGATTTGCTCAGAACATTTTGAGATTGTATCATAGCTAAGATACTCCTTTTCATCTCCTGGAATTAAACTCACAACATAATTGTTAATTTCATCGACAACTGAATTGCTAGGACATACAATTGCACGCGAGGCCAAATATTCGGGATTTTTGTAACACGCCAAGAAATCATGGTACACTTCGCTAACAACAGCAACTATTTTATCGCCATCTGTCATGACGAGTAAATCATCAGGTATTGTTATCCATGAAGGCTGGCTCTCACCATCTCTTTTCGTCGCTGGTAAAGTGCCGTCACCAACAGCCAAGACCCATTTACTAAAATCACTAAGCTCTTCTCTTTGCGTACTTGGAAGTGATGGGTTAAGCAACCGCATATTTACATTCAGCCTAAGCATAACAACATGTTTCCAAAGCTTTGAGTTTGTTATCAAAGCATCAACAATCGCAGACCGTGAACCCTTGGGCACAACAGGTAGAATTTGTCTAAAGTCACCGCCTAGCACAACAGTTTTACCACCAAAAGGAATAATAACATTTGAAGGGGTTATTTCAGACAGGATATCACGCAACGTGCGATCTAATGCCTCAAAGCAACGTCTATGTGTCATCGGAGCTTCATCCCAAATAATAAGTGAAGTATTTTCAAGCAACTCAGCAACCATTGTTCCTCTTTTTACATTGCAAAGGCTTGTCTCATTTATATCTATGGGTATTTTAAAACGCGAGTGAGCAGTTCTTCCTTTAGGTAAAAGCAGAGAAGCAACACCTGAGGAGGCCACAGCAAGAACAATTTTGTTTGAAGATCTTATTTTTGCAATTATAGCATTCCACATAAATGTTTTCCTAGTACCACCATGACCACACACAAAAAAAAATCCTGGCTGGTTAGCTACAACAGACCCTACAATTTTGTCAAAGATTGTTTTTTGGTTAGCATTAAGTTGCGCAATCAAAGAATCTGCATGCATAGACATCATTAATGGATCAGTTGCAAGTTCTTCTTCAATCAACCTATTACCAAAAGCAACTTGTGGAGAAAAAGTTGGCTGGGGTAGGTTGTAGTCTTTTATGTTGCCACCACTTTTTCCAAAAACATTACTAAGCTCATGTAACAATAAAGTAAGCAAATGTTCATGCGAAACAATACAGTGCGGATTATCAAGAGCCTTTTTTAGCCTACGGTGTATGTCGTCTGTCATATACAACCAATATTTATCAAACAAAGCACGCACATCACCAACAGAGTAATAAAGCACAACAGTAACAAACAATTGCCTAAGCTGATACCAAGATGCACTTTGGATTGCCTCATCAAAAAAAAGGTGCCACTCGTTATCCCCCTCAAGGATGCCTAGCGCCTCACAGGCTTCTCTATATGTTTCATATATAACACCATTGTATGTTCGTATATCAGGATAGCTCTGGGCACCTTTGACAATCATCAATAACATTCGCAAGTAGTACAGTTCACCAGCCGTCGGATGTACATAATACATCCTTCCTATCTTAGGAGCTGGTGTTCTCGGGCGCCAACATCTAGACGATGAATCCCATGTCCATTGTTTTGGAAAATCACAATATGTCAAGGTGTGTGCTTCCTCATACTTCGCATTTGCTTCAAACCATTCGGTTAACATTGTACGTTTAGCAGCAGGGCTATTAATCAACGCTCTCAGATTTGATCCTTTCTCATATCGAACATAATTCATACCGGGCAAGTGGACAGCTAACCTTTCTACAGGTGGAACTCTGTAATGTATGTCAAACTCATATATTCTGTGTGCAGTGCCTCACAAGTGGAAAGAAATCTAGCATCCATGTGCTCTAGAATCTCATCTGGAGGGGCCAAGTCATGGTTAGGTGAAATATTTCCTGTTTGAGCAGTGGTCTCAAAATAAATTTTTGATCGATCATGACCTTTCATTACATATTTAAAAAGATACTTAATCATGTTAGATTTATTGCACCACTCAACATTTATATGCGCCTGATATGTTTTAAGCAAATTGATGTTATATGGAACAACTGATCTGTTGTCTAAACGCACACCATTTTTCATGACATATCGCCCAACGTTTCTTCGCCTATAGACCGTAAAACCGCACTCATCAACAAATGTTTCATCCTGAAAATCTTTAGGGTAATGTTTTGAACATTTGCCATCTTTCATGCAAGGACATTTTTTGTTATCATTACCACAAGGACCATGCATCATGAACTCGCTTACCAACTCATAACCTAATTCATCGGTTTCAAAGTCAGGTATCTCAGCAGAGATAAATCCATCTATGATAGATGCTGATACCTGAGCACTGCTAGCAGCAAGCCATACCAAACAGTGTATGTGTGGTAAGCCACGTTTTTGGAACTCAACAGTGTAGAGAACTAAAACAGAGAAAAAAAAGTCAGGACAACACCATCATAGCCTATAACCTAGCAAATCACAGTAGACAACTTCTTACCTGCAAGCACAGGCCCAAATATTCTACCTTCCCTGATGTCAGTAATAAAATCATGCACCTTCATATTAAATACCCTAACAATCATATCAGCTCTATCAGATGGTTGCTGGCCATCCTCAAATCGTATTGATTCAGCTATTTCTTGCCACTTTGAATTGCATGTAAACGTGACAAATAAATCAGGTGATCCATAAACACGACATATTGCCATTGCATCTTGATAATTCATAACCATATACCTCCTACCACCAGTAAAGCTAGCAGGAAGGACAACTCGTTTGCCTACAGAATCACTGCTTGTTATGCCTCGATCAATAGCATCAACTATACCTTGCACACATTCAGATCATATATCAGCCTAATTATCAGCTATAAATTTTAATCTACTGCTCTCAATACTTGAGTATGCATCAACAACAGCCTGATCACTAAGATGACCATAGCAAGTAAATGGGTTAGGTTCATTCAGCCTATAGTGGATCATACATCGAAAAAACTCAAGCATGGTAACATACTTTCTTCCAATTCCGTCATAATCATTGTATGCAATACCAAGGTGAAATCCTCGTTCGCCATAAGGAAAAAGTAACGGATACTATAAAGCCATATACCATGGGTGCAAAGAGGACACACGTCGCAAACCATCATCTTTTTCCTGGACAAGTATATCATAACTATACTCAGCTGCTGAGTAATCGCCCACTATAATCGCTGCTAGTTCACCGCTAGTTGGTAAATTATACTGCACATCAGATTTTGCATTGCAGCCCATCAACCGTAACGTCAAACTCTGATTCCCATGCTCGTTCAAGCGTTCTCTAGCATAATGAAATTTCTGCACAAGGGTGTTATGCGAATCTAACATAGTGCACAGAGCATCAACTATAGCAGGATCAGCCTTGTCACTATTGCTGCCATCATTTTCAAATATATTTATTCGATTTTGTATCTCATTTTCTGGATCGTAGATGTAGAGCTGTGCAAATTGAGGCCTTCTCCCTTGCGCTGGTAGCAGGCTACCTATTTTGTGATGAACAACACCATTAATTTTAAAAACATAAGGTGCACTTCCATTGTTTATCGTTCTATCGATAGTTGCACCCATAGAGGTGAAAGCAAACATAGAGTTGTAAGATCGCACCTGCCTAAGAAATCTCTTTGAACGTGCATCTCCATTAAATTTCAACAATGTTTTAAGAGGTTCTGGAGGTTCACGTAGTTTTGGCAACTGTATTTTACCACTTTTGCAGCACAAATTGTAAACTATTTTTCGTTTTGAAATAGCTGAAAGACTTTTAACCCTCTCCTGGAACCAAAACACAGCAACACAGTACAAACACTCATATGTCGGTGCACCATAGTACGACCTCCCCGGGTACGATGCTGCAAGATCATCAATCAATAAACTTCTAACATAACATTGCTAAACCAGCTGTCGCAATTATAAGGGATCTAAATAAACACAAACCCTTTAAAGCCTCAACATGATCCTTGTGAGAGCGTGAAGAACTACCTCTATCAAGCTCAACATTAGCTGCAGTGAATCAGATATTAGTTTTAAGCAAGGCACCTAGTGTGACATACATTAATATATCGTTTGTGCCACCCCTCACCCGAAAGAAAGGAAGAATTTCCTATCCGAAGCAGACGGCGTCGTTGTCTATTAGAAGCTGCCAATGCAGGGCTAAAATCCATAAGAGAGCGAGCTCTTTTGGTCCCACCTGGCAAAGCCAGGGCGCTCCTCATGCATATTTCCTGTGTCAAAGCACGCGCTTTATGCCTTTCACGGCTCGCACGTGCTCTGGATACTCTATCGCATGGCCTTTTCAACATCAGTATAACATGCCTATACAATCAGCACAGACCAGCAACACAAACATCATTTTACTGACAATACACGAAAAGCTGACAATACAAACTGCCAATTCCGAATAGCCAAGAGCAATACAAACACAGTCTAAAACCAGATAGGAACTTCTAAACACCTATATTTCAAAAGAACCCATTTGTTCCATGTCTTCTACGAAAAAACTAAAATACAGTGAGCTACATGTCCTAAGAACATCATCACACCAAGGAACAAATGCACCATGAGAAGATCTGAAATGTGCCACACAACCAGAAGCAGACAATGCAGCCTGCACAGCATCACGTGCCAGCCATCTGTAAGCTAGCATAGAGTTAAAATTGTAGTCATGCACTACAAAACCATAACGATGTTGGAGACACCTCAGTGCTCTTGCAGCAACCATTTCATGTGCGCTCTGAAGCGGAGCTAAGGCCGTCTCCCAAAAGAACATAGTGTCCAGATGACCGACACAACCAATCGCCGGGAGACTGACTTCAATACCAGCCAACAACGTACCATCAGAGCTAAACTCCCACAGGTACGCAATGCTAGGTATCATGCAGTGCTGAGCAGCGGCATTCAGCAGCGAGACATGAGATACTCCCACGGCGAACATCGCGGCTACACCACTGCCAATGGGAGAAGGAAAAAAAATAAGAGAGGATAAGATAGGCAAGTGGAGGAGAACAGTTTGTCCAGAGAAGAGACTACAGAAAAGCACATCCCAAGTTCAACGGCTAGAAAATTTTAATAAGGGGAAAGGCCAGAGCCAAGCATTCAAGGAAAGAAGACACTCGACCTACCACTCTGCTCTTCTGTGTCCAACGATGGACAGACACACTACCGTAGGTTATCTATATGAATAAATACTCAGGATAGTATAATACAGTGTAGTAGTATACAGCCACCAAACAAAGTGCATACCAAGCCAAAATAAAAAAAAGTGGCACGGCCCAGTCACGTGACTCCACGTAAGAAAACAACAGCACACACACAACAACAGCCAACACAAGAAAACCAAACCACATGCAAAGAAAATGACCAAACAGATAAAATGCAAAGAGAAACTTTTCTTACCCCAGAGCCTGCGCACCCAACACTCACCCACCACCACCAGCAAGACCAAACAGCTAGATGAACTGCAAGAGGCAACCCCAAAAAAGGAAAATAAGTTCCTGCAAAATGCTAGTGACAGCAAATGCCTCTCTTTTGCTAGATCTATTATACCAGATCAGATCACCAGAAAGTCCACCGAAGCAACAGGGTGAAGTAAACCAAGAACAACCAATCACAGCAGCAAAGCCCTTCTCAAATCACCTACAAAATACATGCAATTCACTCAGGATCTATGGCAACACCCAAGCAAACCATCGGCAAGTAATTCATCCGTACAAACCTCGCGTTCGCCATTATCACTCAGCAAAGCACATCGACGAACACACCGAAGGAGAAGAGGAACAGCGAATGGCGAGGAGGAGAAGGCGAGGGAGCAGAAAACCTTGCAGCAAGCACAGGGAAAGTGCTCCTCTTTCACCGGCGTGAAACATGAACAGTTCAGCCTGTACCTCGACCCATATTTGTGTAAACCCTGCCCACACCACAAGCGCTATCCAACCAGCTGTATGGCCCACCCAGCAGCGAGGCAATATCCGTGAACCGAGTGCACCTGACTGCACGCAACAAACCACACACTAACCGTGCCACATTCCGTCGTACATAGCAGGAGCACACGTGGCTCGAGAAAACTCCCGGCGCACCACAGACACATTGGCCAAGCCCCACATCCCAGTGCCCGTAGCAAGCACACTGGTCCATGGACACATCCCATACACAAGTTTTACCCTAGAATCCTGTATCTCCACTACCATTACAGCAGGAAGAGCGCACTATGGCGGCCCACAAAGAACTGTGGCGAGGGCCCGCCTGCCATTGACACAGATCATGTGCACCACGCTCACGAAAGCCATCTCTACTGGTCCACTGCTCCAACCTCGTATGCATGTCCGACCTGACACACAACACCGATTGGCCAAAACAGCCAGCACCGAGTGCACTGGACCTATTCAGTTAGGGCCACATTAGCATAGAGTTATGGACCATAGGAGATGTCCACGCATGAACACATGCATAGGCACGTAGACCAACGTGTCGATCTCCTGTTCGCAAACGCTTCAGCACGGTTAAACCAAGGCCCAAATGCCACATCAAATAAGCACGGCCCATCCGCGATCCAACGGCTAGAAAGAAACGAACACACGCTTAGGCACGCATAGGTGCGTAGACTAACGTGTAGATCTCCTGTTTGCAAGCCCATCAACACGGTTAAAAGGAAGGGCGAAAAGCCACATCAAATAGGCGCCGTCCATCCACGATCCAACGGCTAGAAAGAGGCGAACAGAGACGCAGAAAAACCAGCTGCTCTAACGCTCCGCGTCGACGTGGATAGCGCCGGAAGCGAGCACGCCACCCCCGAAACGCTGTGAGCGCAGCAAACGAGAGTCAGTATTCATATAGATGATGAGATGATCCAATGGTCAATATATAGAAGGACTGAACATTCTTGTTGTACCTCAAAGTGAACATCCTGGAAGTCCATTATAAATTTGATGGCTAGATTAATTTAAGGTGGCAGGCTGTGGAAGAGAGATCAACTTTATAGATCGGATACTAGAAATAGCACACTGAATATGTTTCGCACAACTAAATAGTTGTTGGAATAACACCTTTGGGTATGAAGCTAACTAAACTTGGAAGGCTTCTTTGGAGAGAGCTACAAATCGGACGTCCGATATTGTAAAAAAAATTGGACAGTCAAATGTTTCAGTTAACCGTTGGTGCAACATTAAGTTATACATAGTGAAACAGAACAATCAGCCTCTGAAACATATAAAATTTTGTGAAACACAATAAAAACACATGGTGAAACATATTACTATCACATATGAAACATTAAGTTTGTATGGTTTGAAACATATGTTTTTCTTTCATCAGAATATAATCATGTGATATCTTGTTGTAAAGATTTAATTATAACGAATTCAATGGTGTGATCGAATCGCTCATCGGATAAGTAGTTTGGAAGAAAAAAGATTTTTAAGATCACTAAATAGTTGCATGCATGTGTGGTATGGGGAGAAATCAATAAAATGTATGAGAGAGAGAGAGTGAGGCTCTGAGGCATATGCTTCTCATGCTTTTTCAGCGTGAAGCATTGACTTATACGTGGTGAAAAAAAAAATCAGTTACTATGAAACATAATGAAAACTCACAATGAAACATATTGCTACCGTGTCTGAAACATTAAACTTAACGGATTGAAACATATGTTTTTCTTTCATCGGAATGTAATGATGTGATATCTTATTATAAAGATTTAATTATAACAAATATAATGGTATGATCATATCACAGATTGGATAAGTAGATTAAAAGGAAAATTATTTTGAAGATCATTATTATAACATGTATGGATGTGTGGAGTGGATACGGAAGTAGTAGTTTGCCTGTTCAAATTTTCTTTGTTGTGTCAGACGTATGCTAGGAAGCATTTCCGTAACGGAACGCCTCATACTTGCTCTCTTGCTTGTCTATATCTCCTCAGTGAGGGACAGCTCATCTTCAGACATCTTGTTGTGAGAGACATTAATTGGGGCATGATGACATCCTCAAGCTTGAAGGAATGGCTGCCGGCTATCTTCATGGTGATGCTCCAGATCTTCACCGCCGGGAGTCTGATGCTCGTCAAGGTGGTGGTGGATAGCGGGTTGTTTGTATGCACCTTACTGACCTACCGCTACTTGCTTGGCGCCGTCTTGGTCGTCCCCTTTGCAGTGTCATTCGAGAAGTTAGCTCCTGTGTTGCTTGATTCTTTAACTTTTTTTCTCATCTATTTCATATTATATGAACAATATTGTGTATTGTATGATTCTGCTATATCAATATCCTTTGATAGAAAAGATATTGTTGTAGCGAATTTAGCATTCAGCCATCAGAATACTCAGTTAGGACATACTGAAGCCGAAATTCTGCGTATATTCAGAAGTTAGGACATACTGATCAAATCTGTAGTTCTTGGAACCAGTGTTTCAGTTGTACAAATCAAATTTAACGGCAACTACTTGGATTTTGATTTTGTATTTTAGACAACTACTAGTACTTGATTTAATATTTTTCTGATCATCTATATCTAATACTCCTTCTATTTTCTACTAGATGACGTTGTTGACTTTTGAACATATGTTTGACTATTCGTGTTATTTAAAAATTTTATGTAAATGTATAAGATATAAATCATTCTTAAGAATAAGATGAATGGTGAAACGTGTGACAAAAGGTAACGACGTTATCTATTAAAAAATGTAGATATATAGTGTCACTACTATTCTATTCTTCTTGTCACCGATCCGTATACACAAGAAATGAACATGAGTTCTTGCTTCTTAAGTCCTAATGTCCATAGGGGTGAATGCGCATGCGTTGTGAGTGTCTGCGTTGTAGAATGTAATTCTCAAAAAATATGTGGCTGTTGTTTTTTTAATGTGTTGTTCAAGAGGGAAGCTGAAGGAGCTTAAGTTAAAGGCATTCATATGGATTTTTACAAGCGCATTAGTAGGGTGAGTACATTCAGCAGTCTACAACTTGTAAAACCACTTCATCTAACTGTTACTCTTTAAATCTATAGATAGTTCAACTTCTTGTACACTTACATTCCTTAACCAAATTCATTTGCTACTTACATGCAGATTCACTGTTCCTGGTCTTTACTACATAGGCCTGGGAGATACATCACCAGGATATGCAATTAACTTCTACAACATCGTCCCAATCGCAGCGTTTATCCTGGCTGTTCTTTTCAGGTATATATATATGACAAGATAAAAACATCGCCGTAAGATATAAAGAGAGAAAATTGCTGCAAAATAAGAACTGTAACTATATATGGCTCTGTTTCAGAAAGGAACCACTGAACATGAGAAGCATAGTGGGAATCATCAAGGTGGTTGGGGCCTTAGTTTGTGTTGGAGGCACAATAATAATCAGCCTTTACAAAGGGAAAGTGCTTCATCTGTGGCCTACCAACATTATTGGCTACCACCCAAGCAAGGCAGCAACTGCATTTGGGCACCACCACATCCGTGGAACCATCTTGCTCGCCATAAGCTGTTTAAGCCTTGCAGTCTGGTACACTGTGCAGGTCAGCAACTCAGTTACCACTTACGAGGGAATTAATTTCGACATAATAATATTTTTTTACTACCTTCTTTTTTATTATATATATTTTCTCTGGTTTTTAAGTATATGACACCTTTAACTTTTAAACATACGTGAACATTTATCTTATCCAAAACTTTATGCAAACATAAAGGATATAAGTCATACTTACAATAAAATTTAATGATAAATCAAGCCATAACAAAAAAAATGATAATTACATTACATTTTTAAATAAGATAAATAGTTAAAGGTATGTCAAAAAATCACCAGTGTCATATTTAAAAACGGAGGTAGTATGAGGCAGTTGACTATCATCTCAAGCTTTGGGCAACAATATTTATTTAATTACTTAGTTAAGAAAATTGAAGCCAGTACCAATAGATCTTTCATCAAAAGTATTTTAAGCATATTTTGTATGTTTGTCGACACAAACATTTCTAAAAAGATAAATATGCAAACAAAGTTAAAAGAAAAGTTAACAACATCGTATATTAAAAAAAGGGTAATATTTAGGAGCTTGTAATTATTGTTGTGCACTTGTCCGCAATTACCAAAATATGAAGAAAGTAATCTTGTGTGCTAATGATGCAACTTGAATGTTGGTTTTGCTTCAACAGGCTCAGATGCTGAAAGTATTCCCATACAAGTATTGGTCCACAGTTGCTACATGCTTCGTTGGGTGTATCCAGATGGCCATTATAGGGGTCGCGATGAACAGAGAAAAGGCGACATGGAAACTGAAATGGAACATGAGCTTGCTCACCATCATCTACTCTGTAACTATCCCAGTTGTTTCAGATGTTCTGAATTTGATGCAAGTACATCTCTGAATAATTAATATGCCTCTTCTTCGTTTCAGGCGATACTGAACACAGCTGCCAAGTTCGTGATGATTTCATGGGTTGTCACGCAGCGAGGACCAACCTACCCATCGATGTTTTGTGCTGTTTCAGTGTTGTTCACGACGATTCTTGACTCGTTGCTTCTAGGCCATGACCTCTCGGTTGGAAGGTACAAATTTCATTTCTGTAAACTTCTTTTTTCTCTTACAGAAATGATAATAATGGTTCTATGTGAAATCATCTGCAAATGCTATGTTCTAGTGAGGGATTTGTGCTAATTAACATAACTTTTTTGTGATGCCATGGATGTAGTATTCTTGGAATGTTACTGATCCTTGCTGGGCTGTATCTTTTCCTCTGGGGGAAGAGGAAAGAAGTGGTGCCTGAGACCACAGAAAAACCCAAGGAGGAGGTGCAATTTCAGACCGGTGATAGAACCAGCGAACTACCATCCAACGTATGATTGATTTTTTTTTCTAGATGCACTAGAATGTAAGAAGAAATTGTTCCAAAGTAGTGTAATTGCTAAGTATCTCTGTAATTCTGTATTAGAAGATATATGTTAAGGTAGTGTCATTCAGGGTTTGCGCTTTCGTGTTTGGTTGACTGGTGGCACAAAAAAATTATGAAATTTCGAGATTTTCAGAACTTTTTGGCACGAAATTATTTAAAATTTTAACAAATTTTGGATGAATTTGAATAATATCCAAATTCAAAAAAATTGAGAAAATCTAAAAATTTTGGACGACATAGTTACTTGGTGGTGGGTCCGAAATTACAATCACTGGTGTCATTTCATCAAAGGGAAGTAGTAGAACAACGTACAATTTCAGATTGCTTAAGATGACTCGAAAGCCAAAACGCGCGCTCTATATGCTCTGATGTTGCTGCGAATTGCGAAACTATTTTTGACAATTACAAAAGCATTACACGCCTTACACGAAAGGGGATAATGATCTGTGTCATGCTATGGACTTGAGGTAAGTTACCCCATCCATCTCATATCCCACGAAGTTTCTCCATGAACTGCAGTCCACACTATCATGTAACTTCTCAACTTCCTTTGTTGCTAGGCTCATTGCAAAGGTTCCAGGATTACTGCTGCCTCTGCCGAGCGTGAACAAGAGGATGCCACTATTCTCGCAGAACCAACGCAGGTTGATGTCGGCCGCAGATTTTACCTTGAGCCGTGTCGACGTGACGGAACATTCCCTCACCCATTCTCCGGTGCTTGCCTCGAAAACCGTCCGCACAAAACTGGCATATCCTGCACCATTCCCTGCGTCCAGAAGGCACAGCTTCCCATCGGGCGTGACGCTGAGCAGACGGAGCTGCTGGAGCGGGTTGGGAACGCCGTCCGGCGGCATGCGCACCTGCGCCGGCGCCGGCGTGTCAAAACGTACTGCTAGTGCCGTTCTTTTCAGCGGCCAGTAGGCGACGCCGTGGAGCACGATGCCCTGGCCTAGCTTGCCAAGGTCCCAGTTCGTGAGCTTGGGGCCTGACGTTTTCTTGGTCTCCATGCTCCAGCTGCAGGTGTCTGATGAGTAGGAACGGAACGCGGTGAACCTGTCGCGGTTGTAGATGATGAGCACGCGGAAGAAGTCAGAGGATGCATGCCGGGGTCGGTCGAGGTCGAGGTCGGCACCGGTGAGCAATGTGCATGCGTAGATCTTGGGCCTGTCATTGCCGAGCAGAGTAGGCAGCACAGCCACGTCCCCCATCATGGGGTTGCAGACGCACAGCCTGAGGCTTCTGTCGACGTGGCCCTCACTCTGGAGCTCGAGGACGAGGCGTCCGTTGCGTGACGCGATTGGACGAGAGTGCGAGAGATCCAAGACGCCATGCCCATGCTGGCCACCGGATCGCAGCGCAGTGGTGGAGGGGAGGTTGAAGCCGAGCAGCCGAGCGCCGGACGCCGTCGGGACGAAGCACGGCGGCGCCGAGCACTCCAAGCCGGTGGAGCGGCGTTTCCGCTTGCGCGTGTTCGTCGTCGCGGCGCCGGCCGTGTCCTGTCGATCCTGGTGGAAGAGGCCGAGGGCCAGGCCAGGGAGAGGCGGAAGGGCTCGTGACAGAGCGTCGGCCTCCTTGGCCACCACGCTGGCCCAGCGCCTGCATGTGGCGGCGCATCGGACTACATCGGCCGCGTTGGGGAGCCGTGTGAAGATTGCAGCGAGCACGTCATCCGTGAGGGACGCCCTACCCCGACCTGTGTCGTACTCCCTGAAGCCCCCGCTAGTCCGGCACCGCGGTGACAGCCAGCCCCTGCCGCCTCCACAGTACGGCGACTGATGACACCCGACGCTCATCCTAGGCGCGGCAGGGCAGATGCCAAGAGACCGTGAACAAACTAGGTACGCTAGCTGTCCAACGATCCCATATTTACGGCGGCGAGCGATCACACGCCTTCTCGTTGCTGCTAGTCTAGTCGTAGTCCGATTCTGTTCGTGTTGCTGCTAGTCTAGTCGCAGTCCGATTCTTGGGCAGTTCGGCTGACCCGTACGGGTGGGGTCTAGCGCACGAACATTCGCGAGGAGCGAATCTCACGAACCGACAAAATATTCATGCCTAATTAGTCTAATTACCCGGATCATGATTAGCTCTGATCTTCGGTTAAAGAAACAAACTCTCCATACTTCTTGCTTTTCTGTTACGAGGCTTTTTTTAATTGGATTCTATTTTTTTCCAAGAATACCCGGTGTTGATAAGCAATTTTTTATTTCTATCAAAATTTCTAAACTGAACTTTCTAGTTGCATATAAATTCTATATGAAGTTTCAAACATATATGAATTATTTCCGTGCAAACTTCTTATATGTAGTTACATATCACTACTACATGATTGATTTTCCTGAACACCACCCCATTTTGTTTCTATGCGATCCTTGAGTTGAACCGCACAGAAAAAATGAGGGGAGCGTCGCCCGTTTCGTGTGCAGGTCACTTAATAGACCCTCACACAAAAATAACTCTATTTTCGCATGCGGGCGTCCTAATCTAACCGCATAGGAAAATAGCACTTCCCTCCCATCCTATTAAAAAAATTTGGACTTTTCTTCCCTCTCCCCCTGCCCCCCTCTCTCTCCTCTCTCTCCCCCCTCCCCCCTTATCTTCTCAGTTTCCTCTCATCTCATTTTCCTCTGTCTCTCTTTCTCACCTTCTCCTCCTCTCCTCCGGGCGCATGGCGCCAACGCTTCCTCTCCTTCGGGCGGCTCTCGGCAGAGGAGACGATGGCGGCAGGCAGGGGCGGGCGGGCGCGGCGGCCGGGCTCACGGCGGCGGCGGGCGGACGTGGGGAGGCAGCCGGGAGCAGCGTGCGCGAGGCCGACGACAACGACGATAGCGAGGCAGCGGCCGGGAGCAGCGTGCGCGCAGCCGACGACGACGACGACGGCGGCGAGGGGGTGCTGATCCGCGACCAGTCGCGCGCGCGATCAGCTTCCCCCCTCTAGTCTGATCTCTTATCCTATTCCTATATACTACTATACCTACTATATGTATATACTATATATATATATATATATATATATATATATATATATATATATAAAGTTTATACGTATGTATATACTATATATATACATACATGTGTATATATACATATTTTTTTATATGTATGCACTTTTACTGTATAAAAGATATACACATATATATAAAGTTTGTGTGCGTACGTATAAAAAACTAAAAAAGTATGCAAACTTTATATATGTGTATACAAACTTTGTATACGTGTATACAAAGTTGGTATACATATATATAAAAACAAAAAAAATACACGTACACAAACTTTGTATACATGTATACAAAAGTTTGTATACGTATATATAAAGTTTGTATGTGTACGTATACAAAGTTTGCATACATACGCACTAAAAAAGGGAAAAACAGAAAAAATATACGGGAAGAAAAAAAAGAAAAAAGAAAACTGGAAAAGGTACGGAAGAAAAAAACAAACAAAACAAAAAAAGGAAACCATACGCCCGAAAAAAAAAGTACCGAATGCGCCGTCCGCCGCCTCCTCTCCGCGTGTGATACGTGTCCAGTCGCGCGCGGGAGGGCGAGCGCGACTAGTCGCATATTAGCCGTCTCGCGAGGCGGCGGCCGGGAGCAGCGGGCACGCGGCCGACGATGACGACGAAGCGGCGGCCGGAAGTGGCGCGCACGTGACGATGACGATGACGGCAAGGCGGCGACCAGGAGCGGGAGGAGGCGGCGGCCGGCAGCGTGCGCGCGGCTGACGACAACGACGACGGCCAGGCGGCGGCCGGGAGCGGCGCCACCCTCCCCACGCTCAGATCCGGCGGCGGCGGCTGCCCCCGCTCGGATCTAGCGGTGGCGGCAGTCCCTCGCCCAGATCCGGCGACAGTGGTGGCCGGCGCAGCGGTGGGATGCCGGATCTAGAGTTAGGGTTTGGGTTTTTTGAAAATTTATTTTTTTTCGGATTTTTATTTTTCTGTGCGGGCGGCATAAGCAGCCGCACACGAAAATCGGATTTTCGCGTGCGGTTGCGCCACCCGCATAAGAAAATCGCGATTTTCCCAAACGAAATGTTTCAGACGGGCAAAACAACCACACGGAAAAATAAAAATAGCTATTGTAGTAGTGTATACAAACATTCCACATATAAATTTTTTATATAGAAAGTCTATATATATATATATATATATATATATATATATATATATATATATATAGAAAGTTTATATATAGAAAGTCTAGTTTATATATATAAAGTATGTGAAAAGTTTACATATATAAATCTATAGATAGAAAGTTTTCGCATAAATAGTTCTCGTTAAAGACTAACGAAGGAAAATAAATCTAAAAATATTGGAAAAAAACAAAAAATCTTGATACATACGTAAAGGAAAATTGAAAACAGAAAATTTGGAACGGATGAAAACAGAAAATGAGGAAGGTAAGATCGGATGCGATAGAAGAATCACGTACTAAAAAAACAAGAAAAAGGAAATAACGGTTACCGCTCCATAGCTTGCGCCCTTTCTTGATACATACGTACCGGGGCAATTCGCGAGTTCACTGATGGGCGAACGTTCGCCCACTAGTTTTTCCGGACTCGTACGTACTCACTCGAGGTCCCAACTGCATGCGCGAGTTAACGCTGTGTCGAAACTAGATTTCGGCAATAATAAAAGGGGGTGGCTATCAAGCTAGGAAAGTGTATGGGTTTGGAGACAAAAGATTTATACAGGTTCAGGCCTTCTTATAAAAGAAGTAATACCCTACTCCTGTCCGGGGATGAATCCGCCGAGTGTGTTATTGATTGTATGATTTGGAGAAAATCCAACCACCGCCCCTAGAGGCGCCCGGACCCCCCTTATATATAGGAAGGAGTCCGGGTTACAAAAGATAATCCATATCCCTAACGGAATATGCAGTTACAGATAAAATACAGTCGTAACCGACTAAGTCTCAAGGTGTTTCCTTGATACACAAGTTAAGAAACAAACCCAAGACATAAATAAGATATTCTATCTATATTCGGTATCCTGTATCCAGCTCAAATAGTATCGCCATGTAGATATGGGATATCCATAATCTCCACAGTAGCCCCCGAGACCTTTGCAGTCGACCATCATAGCCTTCTCAAAAATAATAACAATCCGAGTGCTTCATATTATTCATGCCAAGGCCTGCCGAGTAGCGAAGACGAAGACTGTAAAGGGCGAAAAGATAAAAATATGGTGCATCGAATAGATGCACCTAATTAGGTGTAGCCCCCAACTATGTGATTAGTTAACAAACTAAACATATAGTTGAGAAACCAAATAATAGCACAATCATGCATCATATGACAAAAGCACACGCGGCGCCTAAAGAGGCATTCTAGCCGACTGCTTTTTAGCCATAATGAAAAGAGTCCGAGTGGTTTACACTCTAAAAAGGTTCACGAATGAACACACTGGACAGGCATCCGAATATAAAACTCTAAAGATTACCCACCAAGTATTATAAAAATTGTGGTAATGAATAAGTCTAATAGCCTAGGCTACGACTATTTACCATAATGAAAATAGGTATATAACATACCAAGGAAGTGACTATGATAAAAACAAGCCACTCCAAGTTAACCCAGACAGCTTCTGTAGCCTAAAAAAGCTTACAAAAACAGCATAACGCCTTTCTGTCGGGCACCTTTTAATTTGCATTGCAATAATTCCAAAGAATTATATGACCGCATAAAAAGGATTTTATCAGCATTGGGCAACACTATTGTGCGCATAATATTGCCGAAGCAAAAATATGCCTAAGTCCCTAAGGAGCACAATGGGCCACGCTGTTAAAAGTATTGGGCCGAAGTACTGTTCTGGCCTAGGCCCATTTGTACCTCCGATACCCTTAACAAGAAATCCCGAGATCCAAGCGACGCTTCGTCTTCCCCGCCGGAACTCTCGCCATTTTCCCCACTCCTTGCTACAGTGCAGAACTGCGCCGGCGAACTAGGGTTCACCAATCCACCCAAATCCACCTTCAAAAAGTGATCAAAATCCTTCTCGTGATCCACCGCCTCAATCCCTCACCTCTCCCAAGCCATCCCTCGAATCAAATCAGTGCATTCGGGGAAAATCGATGGCGGAAGAGAAAGAAAGCTTCGAAAGCCAATGGGCGCCGTCCGACGTAACGGAAGAGAACCTGAAGGAGATGGTGGCGCACGGCGTTCTCCTAGCCAAGGAGATCATCGGGTGGCGGCCAGCGTGCGGTGAGGCTTTTTCGACCCCTGATACACATGAGATCGTAGTCTTCTCGCATTTCTTCTACGGCAGCTTCGCTCTTCCGACCTCGAAATTTTTCCGCGGGATCTTGAACTTCTATGGAATCAGCTTGCATCACCTAAACCCAAATTCCATAGTGCATATCGCCAATTTCGTCCATGTTTGTGAGGCCTTTTTGGGAATCAAGCCTCACTTTGCCCTGTTTCGCCGGATCTTCTTCCTCAAACCCCAACCAAACAAGAGCAAACCGTGCGTAGTCGGGGGGGCAGGATTCCAGCTAAGGGGAACTCTGAGCCAAAAGTATTTCTCTATGCCCTTCAAGACTTCAAACAAAGGGTGGCATGCAAACTGGTTCTACGTTCAGAATCCTGAGCCTGCTCTTCCCGGGTACTCTTGTCTTCCTCCGGTGTACCAAGATACCTGGAACTCTCTTCCAATCGGAGATGAAGCAGTCCAAGCCTTGGAATTGTTGGATCGCATGTTAAAACTCAAAGAACAAGGCTTGCAAGGAGAGCAGATCACTCGGCATTTCATCAAATGCCGACTAGCGCCAATTAAAGAAAGATCCCGTACAGCTTTTGAGTTTGACGGCAAGCATGATCCTAATCGCGAAGAACCAGACTCTCTGGATTTCAAAATCATGAAGGAGAGAATGTATAAAATCTTCTCAAATGCCATTGTCGT